ATCTCAGTTTTTCCCAGGAGTCTCCCATCCAGGTACTGGCCAGGCTCACACCTGTTGAGCTACAGTGGGTTGTCAGTTGTGAGTTGCAGGGTGATATGGCTGCGAAAACAGCAATAATCCGAATATTTGGAAGAATATGATTGTATGTTTAGTTAAATATAGCTAGGTTCAGCTCTCAGATCTTTCCTAATTCCGGTTTTCTTTAATACAGATAAGCAGCTGGCTTTCTTTGTGGTTTTCTGCTTTACTGTTCCCTGCCTTGCTTTGCGCTGTTCACGGTCATGGTCCCCCTGTGCTGTGAAGACTTCTTTCTGGTCGTCTCTACGGTTTGCCAATCGGTAATTTACCCCAACGTCTTCCATCAGCCGGATTCCTGGTATTTCAGTTCATCATTTTCAGGCTGGTTTCGAGCTTTCAGTCTTTCTTTCCGACATTCCGACATAGCATTGCTGGCGGAGTGGGGTTAAAATGAGAATTTTGTTTCGTTTCTTTTCTCAGCCTTTATGTTCTACCATTTTGCGCCCTGCTGTCCTGTGCTCAGAGGTACTGCTCTTCTTTTAACTAACCCACTTTTACGGCTTTTAAAAAAATCTAAAACGTCCTGGCCAAGTCGACGTTTCAAGACAGGTAAGGAAACTTTCCCATCAGTAAACACGAATCAAAATAACCCTTGCCTTCAAAACATACTGGGACAATAACATTGGTTTTCAGCATTATTCTCTCTTTCTGTAGCTGGGAAACTCTTTAAAACGCTCATTTATAGTTATGAATGGTTAATAAATTCCTTCGCAAATGTATTTTGGATGTAGGATTGGTTATTTTTAAGGTGGAGAATGCATAACATCTAACACACGCATATTTGTTCTTGAGCTCCTTGACCTCCCGTTAACACACATAACAATCAAGGACGTCTTAAACATTCTTAACACGTGAAGATCGCTAAATCCTGAACATTGTGTACCTTAACAACAGTTACAAAAATAATACGTTCCCCTAAAACAGACATCTTGCTGTGACATTGATCTGGCCCGTTTGTATGAAATTTGAAAGAAATTACCTACTACTAGCAAATATGCAAGGCGTACAGCAGAGGGCAGTGTTGTAACACCTGAAAGCATCAAATATTTCTTTACTTGTGACAACAGTTCTTAACCTGGCTACTACAGCACAAACCGAGATTCAGAAAATTCGGGATTATTATTTGTACCAGTTCAATAATGACTAACATGTAGGTGCAAATCGATTCTTGAATTCTAGAATTCACTGTTCTTTGCAGTTTCGTTGTAAGCTTGACTAATCTCCCATTGGCTCAAAATCACATTTCAAATCAGCTTATTAGTGTTAAAATACGGATACATAAATGATCAAGTAGTAAATGTTTATTTATATAATGTTATATATTTATCTAAGTATTTTCGGTAAAAGGGACATTCGAATGTATAGTTTTACAACAGAATTTATCTTCAGTAACTATAAAATTGTAGGCTAAGTAAAATGCCTTTAGTATAAAATGTACTATGCCAATGAAGAAAAATATTGGAATGAGAAATGCTTATCAGATTCGATTAAATGGTCAATTCACGAATGATTTTATTCTTACCGTTTTTAAGAAAAAATGTTGCGGTAGACAGTAGAGGTTTTTAAACTGACAACTGGACATTTCATTCAATAAACGCAAACATGGAGAGGAGCCGTGAAATAATTCAATGCAGGTTAATTTTAGTTTTCTTAATTTTAGTCTCTTGGTTTTAGTTGACTGTTAGTGTCGTGTTAGTTAAGGAAAGAAATAAAATAAAGAGAAATATCAGGCTATTTCAGAATTAGGCCAATACTTCAGTAAAAGGCGAAAAACTATTTTTCAGTGAAGACGATTGAAACTGAATCGTGTGTTTCAAAAACGAGCCAAGAAAATCTGCAGTTTTACTCAATCTTTTGTTGCTTTTGTTGTGTTCAGAACAGTTTTTATTCTCCAGTGGGTTTGTTATAATTCCTACAACATTCCGCTCCGGGGCAGTGGTCTAGAAAATGTTACAATGAAACTGTAACGGTCCCACTCAAACGTTTACATTTGTGGCTAAAAACCTTATGATATAGTGATACAAGCGATGTTTACAGCGACTGCACGAATCTAAAACGCCGCCGAGCAAGTTAGTGGGAGATAGACTCGATTATGTTAACTGATATGAAACGACCGTCCTTCAGCTATAGTACGCGCAGGCGTGCGCATCAAATAGTTCACTTATCAGTTTAATTAGAAACTTTCCCCTCTCCTGCAGCACAGCCTCGCAGTTCAAACCATTGTGGGGAGGATAGGTTAAAAAAAAACTAAAAGTATTATGATACTATTATCTACACCGATGCGTTTTCACAGATCAGTGTTATAATTGGAAAAAAATCCAACCGTGCAATATATTAACAACCAACGTTGTGAATTTCATCTTTTCAGTTTTGGCCGTGACTCTGCGGATTGCGAACACACCCGTTGCTGGAGTAGTACATTCCCGGGAGGTGATTGACGGGGCTCGTTTTTATCCTCCTGAAAAGCGGTTTTGGGGAATGAGGCGAGCGCCTTCTGCGAGCGACGCGCACCGAATTCCCTTTTAAATGAAAGCGTTAAAAGTTGGGAGATGATTTCGCTGCTGGGTTGCTGGATCCCCTTTCTGTGGCTAACAGGTACGGCTTAAGATCGTGTATCGGTTGTTCGTTAGAAATGAGCAGATAATGGGCTGAGCTTGTCAGTGTGTTCAATTCCGTTCACATCTGGCTGGTTTCGGGATGTATATGTTTCTGCCTCTTGCGAGAATTTGAGTTTCATTACCCGGCTCCTTTTTTCCCCCCACTACTTGTTATTCTCACCTGGAGCTTTTACGATCATGAATTCTTCGGGTATTTGTTTTTTCCTGTGTGTGGAAGAAGTAAGAAGCGAGGAAGACCTGCTCCAGGGTTACACAAAGTCCAACCGTACATATAGTACTGCTCGGCTTCTACGGCTTTGGGGTTCTGATGAATAGGGCGTACTTTGTTTTTTATTCTATATTTATTTTATAGAATTTGTGTACCCCTTGTGCGGTGATGTGCATCCTTCATTCTAATTATTATTATAACCGAACCCCAAAAGACTGCATCGTTAGCAGTAAAAAAATTCGGAACCTTTGAGTACCATTGCCAACGACTTCTAGCGACTGGGGTTTGTGGCGTGTTTGTTTCACACCACAGGTATTTTACATTAGTTTCCATAGGTACCTGTTCATTCAGCGCCTTTTAACTTGTACGGCGTATACCTAAAGTAACACGGTTGAGTACATTGAAGAATACCGGATTATTTTGCGTTCAGACTTTCTCTTTTTGAGCAGACAGTAATTACGAAAAAGACGCGTGGCTGTTGTTCAGATTCCAGCAGGCTTAGCATTAACATCGGAACGAACTCATTTATATATATAGACAGTATATTTATGGTAGCATTTCTACAGCTTCTGCCATCACTATTAGTTTGATTTTTAAAGTAGTAGGGATTTATAAAGCAGTAATAGCACTTAACTGTTTCAAGACGAGTGTTATACCTTGTAATATACTGTAGCTTTTGCTGGAGCTGTCTAATCTGTATAGTTAAGGAGTATCCAGCCACACAAACTTTAACCAGGCATGTTAGATTTTATATAACTTTGGAATATAACTTGAGGACCACCTGCTGCTGTTTGAAATATATTAAACGTTATTGTAACACCACAGACTTAAAATATCCACCAAATCGGTCAGAAATAAAATGAGTTAAATTTATTTTTTGTTGGCCGCCTTCTATGAAATAGATATTCTTAAAATTTCTTATGATGACGTTTTGTAAATACCATTGCTGAATTTCTCAGAGCTGAAATCGTGAGGAAATACTCCGACTCTGCATGTCCAGAACTCCAGTACACCTGTGACATGACTCTTTGTGTGATCTTGCATTCAGTTTGTCTTGTTTTCTTGCATACTCATTGTAGTTTATTACATTTTCTCTTTAAGGTGAGTACAGTGTTGAAAGAGGAGACAAGACTTGAAACTTAACTGTCTTTGTAGGGTTTTGACTACATAATAAAGAATGGATTATTTGAAGCAAGAGTTCTGAAGCTAACTCTTGCTGTGAGCTACCCTGACTGCCAGATGCGTTTAAGTGTAGTTTGTTAGAAGACCTTGTGTGAAATGGAAAGGACACATTAGCCTTGGATTTTGGTTTGTAAAACCACAGCAAAACAATTGTTTGCACAATAAAATTAGAAATAAAAAAACAAAAACAAAATCAGTTTAAGGAGTCAGTTTGTGCTGACAGGTTTGGGGTAATAACCCTTGTGTAAATCCTGAGCTTCTGTCATCCTTAAAACAATTCATCTGAAAATAACGATGAAGGTCAGAGGGTAAAAAAACAAAACAGACGTATTTAAAAACAAAATAAGGAGCTACTGGATCCATTGTAGGTGTACAGTGGGAATTTTCCTCTTGAAGGAAACCTTTGTTTGATAATATCTGAGACTGGTTTAGAAAGAATGGAGAAAGTAGCCCAGAAAACTATTTCTATATTTTAAAACAGCTTGTGACGATAACTCTTGTCCTGTGGCACTGGGATTGTCAACAGGGTCTTGTCCCTCTCTAACGGCTCTAATTTTGATTGCAAATCGCCGCCCCCACATGCGTGAGCAGACCGGAGCGCCGTGTGTTTAAAACCGCTGTGGCAGGGTGTCTCTGCCCCCTTCGTCCCCCCTCAATGAGCCCCTTGAGACGCGGGGCCCAGCGGCGGGGGTGAACGAAGGCCAAGCAGGGCAGATGACACTGAGGAGCGACGCTCACGACGTGACCTGGCCAAATCTGATCGCGGGCAAAAGTTGTGTGATCTCCCGCCTTCGGCTGCCCCAAAGGCAAAGGACTCTTGCTGAGTGCCTGTCGGGGTTTCTCAGGGCCACGATTAATAGTAACGGCGAGAGATGAATCATCGGGAATTGGCACTTTAAATGGCTATAAATAGCTCCTTCTTTGTATTTCAATATCCAACAAAATGCGTGTAAATCAGGTGGAAATTATTTTCCATGCTTGCCATAGGCTCTAGTCTCTGCAATTTAATGCTACAAATAAGCAGAACAGCCTTTTATTCTAATTCATTCCTTGCACTTACAGTATATATCGTCCCTTATATTCTTCATCCCAGAGGATCTCAAACGCTTCATGGTTGTAGGGGATACTGTATACCTTTGCAGTCTTATGGGCAATGGTCTCAACACAAGGGGTTAATAGTAGTATAGCAGGGTGGAGTGGTGGCTCTGTGGCTCAGGATCTGTGTCTGTGGCTGGAAGGTTGCCGGTTCATATCTCGTGGCCGGCAGAGGAATCCTACTCTGTTGGGCCCCTGAGCAAGGCCCTTCACCCCAACTGCTCCAGGGGTGCCGTATAAATGGCTGACCCTGCGCTCTGACCCCCAGCTTCTCTCCCTGTCTGTGTGTCTCATGGAGAGCAAGCTGGGGTATGTGAAAAGTCAAATTCCTACTGCAAGAAATTGTATATGGCCAATAAAGTGATCTTCTCTTATCTTTAGAGCCTGTCAGGGGAGTATTGGGAATCTCATGATGAAGTACTCTTACCATGGCCTGCTCCAGTGCTTTGTCTGAGGTGGGGCCTCGGACTGGTCTGTGTTGTCTAGGGAGTTTAGATTTTGAGGTCTACATGGAACCTTAAAAATGCCAGTGCATTTTGTTTTCATCTTTGAATGTTTTTTTTTTTTTGTTGCAGATAGATCAAATGGATCAGGCGTTAAGTGATTATGTAGGCTATATTGTTCTAAATACCGAAGAGCTGAGGTCTGGAACCTGCGCAGGTTTCAAATACAGTTATGTTGGTGAACAGTGGAGAAGTGGTGGCATCCTGGGTGATGGCTGCCCTCTCCAGCTTCACCTGGTACAAGTCCTGGATCTGTGTGCAAAGGGCATCTTTCTTCAGCTCCTGTGTGACTGCTTCAAGGCTGGAGGCAGCAGACTGCATATTGAGGCTCTGTGAAAATATGCACGGAATGCAAGTTCCCATTTGATTCGCGGCTCTGGATCCTGCGCCAAGGAGTATATCAATGCTGGGCTATTGCGTCAGGAAACCGTGTACGACTACAATACAGGAATTATTCAGAAAGTGTGAATACTCACCCTGTTGCAACAGTTTGATAAACAGTGGAGGAGTTTGTGAATGACCGAGTATCTTTTGTAACTTTGCGTCTGTTGTTCACGTTATCCTTCGCCTCCATTGTCAGCAGCTCTTATCTCAGAAAGGAGTGGTTCACTATCGCTTTTAAATTGTACGGTAAAATGAACGAGTCTTCCTTTATCGGACTTTTTTGAAGGGGGGAAAAATAGAAAAGTGGTTTTTTGAACTAAACCTGAAAAATATCACAACTGATATTCATGTTGTTATTTTTTATAACATCCAAATGACAGTTACAAATCTTGACAGACGCCTTAATGTACGTTTAGGATTCACAACTTTATTTCATACTCTGAAATAGCTGTCTATGAGAGAGCTGGGAATGTGCCGTCTGGACTGAAGGAAAAGAAAAGACGTACTTCTTTATGGTCCTGCAGAAAGTGTGGCGTTTAAGAAAGAAAAGCTGGCTAATAAGCGTGAGCCCTGAACAGTTCGGATTTTCAAACCGGCAGCTCGCCTGCCTTGTTTTCATGTCTCAGTAAAGCTGCAAGGTCAGCCTGGCAGAACTGACAGCGTGTCTTGAAGCGTGCCGGAGTTGTGTGCGTTTTGAACTGTTACATTGCCGAATCTGTCACAAGAAAGCTGTAAGTTAGTGATAATTAATGCAGCTTGAGCACCCTTGGGGGTAAGAAACAATCCATTTCAGACAAAGTTACGTGTTGACAACTCTGCCTTAAACTGATCTGCTTTGTCAGTGAGAAAGCAAAGCACCGAGCTCCCGCGGTCTCCGCCTGGCGGGCTGTGCGGCCCGCCGGTGCTCGGCTCTGCGGTCCCGCCCGTAACCGGCTCCCGGTCTTCTTGCAGCCTGGAGGTGCGAGGGCCTGCACGTCACCGTGCCGGGGGGGAAGAAGCTGGGCATGCTCTTCCAGACGGTTGTCCTGGAGTGCCGCTACACCACGCCCTCCAGCCAGCCGCCCGTGGTCCAGTGGTGGTACAAGTCCTACTGCCACGACCGCACCAGGGACGCCTTCAGCGGCGCCGAGAGCCTGGGCGTCTCCGAGCAGGACTCCGGCGCGCACCTGGACTGCGCCGACGCCGGGCGCACGGTGCGTGTGGTGGCCTCCCGGCAGGGCGAGGTGTTCCGGCTGGCCGAGCACTACAAGGGGCGGGACATCACCATCGTCAACAGTAAGTGAGGCGTTCCCTGCACTGCCAGGGCTCGGATACACAGCGCTCCTGATCTCTGCTCTCTTCCAGAAGGTGTGCAGAGCGACCTGTGGTGCGGTTGGTTTGCTTTCACGATGATGCTTTGCCAGCTGTAGATAAGAAACAAGCCAATTTCAGCCAAAGACTTGCGTGCTAGATGTCGGGCGTATGTTTATGTGGTGTGGTTTATTTTTTTTTTGCTTAGAATAAAATGCTAAGAATTTTACACAGGTGGGTCAAGCTCAAAGTGGTCTGTAGGCCACCATCCAGGTCCTAAAGCGCCTGCATAGGCAGCTAACTGTAGTGGCTCTATATAGGCGGTACTTTAATTTTCTTCTTCTTCTTAGAAAATATTGGCACATGAAGTTCAAACCTGTGGATGCACAAACACAGCCTTCCAAAGGTGCGACACAACAATTTCCAAAAATGACAAGAGCTGAGCTCTTGAAACGAGAAGCATGTCTATCGAAACAGTTTGGGCCGAACGTTTTGAAGACCTTCCCACTACAGATAAGGAGGTTTTCCCCCATCTTTCAGCAGAAGTTAACTTCAACACATCACATCACTTCCGGTAGCCGCTCATCCGATTGCAGCTCCCGGTGGCCTGGAGCCTGTCCCAGGATGCACTGGGTGAAAGGCAGGATGGGCCGTGCACAAGTCGCCGGTCCATCGCAGAGCACACACAGGAACGGAACCAGACATGCACACACACACACGCCAGGGACAGTTTTCCCTGGAGACGGCTACCTACCTGTGTGTCTTCGGACTGTGAGAGGAAACGAGTACCCAGAAGAGACACACACAGACACAGGGAGAGCACACAGATGGCAACCTAGGAATTCGACCCAGTGCTCCAGGGCTGTGAGGCCGTAATCCTGACCACTGTGCCACAGTGACCCTGTACTGGATAAAGTGGTTAGAAAATGGATGAATTGATGGATACTAATAAAAAGTTTCTATTGTATTTCATGCAGTTTTATTTATTATGTTCTTAGTAGATGAACATTGAGTGGAATGCTAAAATATGCTAAGATGCATTATAGTTCACATCTGATCATCGCTGTCTTTTAGAAGGTACTCAGAGTGACCTGTGGTGCCAGTGTTTGCTTTCACAATACTGCATTGACGGCTGTAGATAAGAAACAACCGATTTCAGACAGTTACGTGTTGACAGCTCTGCATTAAAATAATCTTCTTTGCTTCCTTAGCAAAAACGAACACAGAGGAAACCCCTCAGAACTGTATAGAAGTCCAGTGTGTTTGTGGATGTGTGTAACCCGAAAGGGTGAGATCTGTAATCTAGCATGTGCAGTGTTACAAAACAATTGAAACAATCTGGATCACTGTAAAAATGAATACACGCTAGAACGAATAAAATACCAGGAAAATGCAGGTGGTGTGAGCTGCTGCTTTTAGAGATGTTGACAATAAGAGGAAGCTGTTTGGTCAGTCCTCTTGTATCCTCTTCTGATCTAATGTTTGAGGACACATTCACATGTAGTTCACTTTTCATTACGATTCTAGGTTTGGAAATAAACCTTTTTTATTAATCAGATTCTTACTAGACCATTAAATACTAAATGTGGCTGTGGAAGAAGTCAATGGTAGAAAGAAGGTAAAATGAATATAACTATATGCTGCTCACTGATTTCCAGCAAGAGGAGCTTGGTTTCTAGAGACGCGCAATGCAGCCTGAGAACTTTAATACCAGCCTTGATCAAACCAAAAGTAAACAAGACCATGTTTGAAAGTCTTCTAAATGAAAATGTGTTTCTGAGATATAGCTTGCACTCTAAGAAACGTCAAGAGAGCTGAGTGTATTTTGAAAAGTGCCAACAAGTCACCAGCACACTGCAGGCTGCAGAAAGCTGAAAGTGACTTAAACACAGACTTGTTCAGTTCAAATTAAACTCAAGTATGACGAAACATTCCTGGTGTCAAAGGAGCCAAACAAAGTTTTTTTTTTCTAGTTATAATTGTGCTGTGGTCTGTGATGCATGTAAAGGGCAATGGTAAGATGCTGATTTGGTGCTTTCTCAACTGCATACAGTATAGTAACATTTTTTAAGTAAAGCAGGTTACATTCTGGTTTATAGTTCCTTCCACAATTTAACCCTCTTGAAAAGAACTAGCTAGCCCTGAGTGATCCCAAAGCCTTCATAGTGATCTGGAGAAACCCTCTGGAGAGCAGGCTTTGAAGGTTATGAGGACCATCTAAATCGCCAGATTCGTGTTTTAATTGTTTCAATCTGTTAGTTTATCAGTTGACTGCAGCAGTAAACTCTCTGGAACCCCAAAAAAACCCTTTTTGGTTTAAAAGGTTTAGGAGCAAAAGACGCACACCCAGAAGAATCGCTCTAAAATGAATAGGAGGGGAAAACACAAATGTGACAGGTCACCAAACTGCACAGTGCTGAAGTTTTTAATTGAAACTGGTTGCTTAAGTAAACTGTAGTTACTCTTCCACCAAGGGGCGTGGGGGAAGGGTTGGTAGACCATGGTGGAGATGATTACCAATGGCTTTCATCTGAAGACAAACACAGTGAGGCCTCAGCCTTTTAGGACTTCGCGCACACAGCGAGAGGTCACTGCTCATTGTGATGGAACAGCTAGCTGTGTGCTGGGGGAGGGGCAGCAGACTGGGAAGATTCTTCACTGGTGTAGCTGGGAAATAGAAGGACAGTACCTTAGCCCTTTAAACAGGGCTTGAGCTATTCTGTCTAAAATAGGTGACTTTTTTTCAGTGTTTGTGTAGACACTTTAGAATTTGTGTTTTTCAATACTTGTAGAAGTACTTGTAAAGTACTTTTCAATACTACAATGCTCATAATCTGCTTTAACACTGTGTTTTAGTCACTTAATATTGATCTGTTAGACTAGAGCATGTTTATTTTTTTTTTAGGAGTGATAATATATTTTAAAATATTTACATTTTATTTAAGTTCTGTTTTCTAGTGTAGTAATATAGAAATAGGTTGATTATTTTCTAATGTAAAATATTTTTTAGTGTTTACTTTACCTTTATATGTTTACTCAATATTGTGAATTAATATACAATGTATATGAAGTAAATGGCTGTTCAGATTCAAGATTTTTAAGGTTTCTGTGCATTGTCAGAGGGCACTGTTTCTTTGAAGTATAAAGATACCATTGTGGAAGAGAATGTTCCTGGATCATAGTAGCAGCATTCTGGAATTTAAGTATGAAATTAAAATAGTTTTTGGATTCAGAACTTACTATTGGTTGGTTGGTTTAAGATTTGGTTTTATCTGAGGCAGCAGGCACATGAGGTAATAAAAACTGTTGGTGGTCTTTCTTCTGTCAAGACAATTCTGGGAAAATGTTTGACAATAGTGGCACTTTTAAAGATTGGATGCTGCGATTGCCTTCAGACAAACCTGTTCTCCGGACTTGCCTGTTAATGTCGTTTACCATGTGTAACACACACATTTCAAATCACATTGTGTGAAAAAGCACATGACATCTTTCTTTAGCACATACAGGATCACCTAGATAAACCATAGAAACATATAAAACAAATTAAGGTTGTCTGTAATATTCTGATGAGCCAGTATAACCTGATGATAATGTTGTAACTGAAACAGTCAGTATAGTGATACGAACCTCTGTTGTCTATTCATTTAAATCTTCAGTATTAGCTTGGTCCAAAAAGATGGATGTTGAGCTCGATCAGTTCCTTTCTTGAGAGAGAATTTATCTGCCATATGCACATGTATATTGGGATTCTTAAGATAAGATGGCCTTTTGGTTGAGAAGCTCTTATTGTCTTGTGTGGGGGTAAGTATAGTACATTTTTAAAGGCGATGGAAGACCTGTTTTTTTTCCCTTATAGCAGTGTCCAGTAAATTGTTCTTTACAATACTCCTCCCAGCTGGAAATGTTTCCCATTGTGCAGCTCTTTTCCTGTTCCCTAAATAGTTTTGTTTGCACTCGCATAACAATAGCCTGGAATCTTAAACCAAACAATTCCTTCCTTGCCCTTCAGTAGAAATGCCTCGGACTCTGAAAGTACTTTTATGCGTCTGCTCATCACGAGTCAAAGTATCCGGAGCTCAAATCTGGATTTAGTGACGCGCAAAATTAAAAAAAGAAAACAAAATCTATATAATAAAAGCCATTCCAGCTTGATTTTAGGTTGTGTTAAAGTCCAACAGCAATATAAAAGAAGTGCTTCCAATTTTTCAACCTGATATTTAATTTAATTGATGTTGGTTTACATGTGTAATAAAAGACGTCTGTATAGGTTGCAGATTAGTGTGGGGGTTGGCACTTCAAACCCAAGGCTCCAGGGATCGGGTCCGAGTCTGGCTTTTGCTGCCTGCCTGTGTGTTCCTGTGGTTTTCTTCTTCAGTTGTTAGACAGTTTTTTCTGTAGTTCTTTAGTTTCCTCATATCAAAAGGGCGAGAGGGGGCAAATGGCTTCTTATTGTTTGCAAATATTTGAATGCTCCACCTTTCTCAAAGGTGGTGATAAGTACGTTATCCAAATCAAATCTTCCATTGTGCTCTCCTCATGTGCAGCGCTGTCCTCGTGCCCAGCGCCAGCTATGGGTTCAGAGATATGGCACAGAGCCGTCTTTCGTGTGTGGAATAGATAGATTGCCCGTGTTTTTAATTCTCAAAAGGTAGCGTGGACCTATTCAGAACTGTTGCTTTGACATTTTTAGTCAATAAAAGTAGCTCTGAAGAAATGAGACAGTCTTGCTTTGAATGGTGAAAATCAGGTCAAACGGGAAATAAGGGGCAAACATTTAGTTTCATCTACTCACCGTTTTAATTTGATATGTCTTTGCCACGTGTACATCATAGATGTGAAAGTTCCTTAGTTTAAATTGTTCAGGATTTTCCTGGGAGCTTCATTGGTGAAAACAGAATACTTTTCAGCAACCATCATTTTTCAAATTCTGTATTAATCGGTCAAGCCTTTTGTATTACACATGACATTACAAAATAACATATTATCATCACTAAAATGGCCCAATTCGGGCTTGGGAAATGCAAACCAGGGCCACAAGTGGAAACTATGTGCAAGTGCATTTAAAACGGAGAGGGGGGGGAGGCTCTCCTTTACACAAAGGGTGGTGGGAGTGTGGAACAAGCCACCCAACTGATACCACAAACTGATACCCTGGCTTCCTTCAAGAAACCGATCGAAGAGATTCTTAGATCAGCTAACTGCTAAGGACCAAGTGGGCAAGCCGGGCCGAGTGGCCTCCTGTCTTTGATCATCTTCATGCGCTCGCCCTGTGTCCCCGAGTTTGAGGGAGTGGCACAGGGCTCTGTGTGCAGCCGTCAGCTGCTCGTGGCCGTGGCTGATGTCTTTCTCCTCTGTCCAGAGGCCGACCTGCGCATCGGAGAGCTGCGGTGGGGCGACAGCGGGGTCTATTACTGCAAGGTGGCAGTCGGAGACGACCTGGAGGGCATAAATGAAGACAAGGTAGAGCTGCTGGTGCTGGGTGAGTGACGGAGTGGGGGGAGCTCTGCCTGCGGCCGGGGGGGCTCCGGCCCTCCCCCCGGAGGGCCCCGGGGACTCCTCGGGGTCACCCCAAATCTCCCGAGAGTCAAAGATCAGGAACGCTTGTTTACGCAAGTAACCAGTGAAGCAACTACTCTGGAGTACATTCTGATTCCTGTTCCAAATGATCCTCTTAATTAGTCTGAACGAGCCACCTGTCGAACTGGTCAAGGCCTTCAGAGACTGTGGATTTAAAAGCTGCTGGACTGGGGCTCTCCAGGACCGGGGTTCCTGACCGCCGGACTACGGACTGCTCTGCTCCTGTATTGACTGAAATTGCTGACATGCGTTCCTAAATGTCCAGCGTGAAAACTGTCGTCCATGCTGTCTTATAAGGGTTGAGCGAATTGAGTTTTTTGTAGCCGTGCCTGAAGTGCAAAATGCAACAGCGCCTTCAGTTTGAAGATCTTGTGAGGTTGTTTCGTGAAATAGTGCAGAATGTGGTTTTCACATAGTTGTGTGTCCGTAAAAGCAACATTTATTACGAAAGTGTAAAAATGCAGGGCTTAAAAATATGAAGATATTCAAAAATGAGTAACCGGTAAGTGTAGAGGCAAGAACATCAACTGAGTGTGTGTTTTTTTTAAACTTTTTATTTAGTGATGAAAGGGTTTACAAACTACATAACCAAAACAGCAGAATAAGCATTTGCCTTCATCTTACATTTCTGCCACATTGTATATACAAAATGAACTATTTACACTATGCCAGCAGGTAAGGAGGGCCATACAAAAAAATATAATTGTCTGATAAGAAACACAACAAACAACAAAGAAGTCTACACATAGATAATGGAGCGTGTGTTTTACTACCATAACTCATGGAAGAGTGTTTGTTTTCTACTGTATTTGTAAGACGCTGCTTAACTATGACAAATTTCCACATCCCAATATGCAGCTACGATTGTTGTCATAGCAACAGCCTAGTGCGGGCCTATGTTGCCAGCTAGGCCTTTGATCCCTTCTAAGTAGTTCCTTTGTTTGGCTTGCTGCTCTTCGGAAAGCCCGGAGCCAATAAAAAAGCCAAATTGAACGAATTAATTGGGTCTGCATTCTGTGTGAATGAAGTGTAGCCTGTCTTGTGTACTTTTGGTTTCTTTCTTTATTTTTGAAGCAAATTTTTCGGTGCATGTTCTTTTTTTCCCCTGGAACGTGTTTTACAACACTGAAGGGAAAAAAAATACAGGTTACCAATTAGAAGTGCATGCTGTAGGTCGCGTCTTAAGCTGTTACCATGGAAACCTTCAAGAGTTTTTGAGGCCACTACAGGAGAGAGGCGTCTCTATTTTTAATTATGACCTGAAAGTACTGTACATGGATGGGTTCTAGAGTTACAAATGAATGTGTTTTGTGTAGGTGGATTGTGCCATTTGCAAAATCCAGCTAATGCATATGTAAATTGTACAGAATAATAGTTGTATTTAACAGTGATTATTCTGTTGAGCATAATTTATCTGGAGGTGCTATCGAATCAGAATAATAAGCAAAGTCTAAAGTCAAATGTTGTTTCTCGAGGGAGGGTATATTACTAATATTGTGTCACCTTGCCATCCTATTTAACTGAGGGGAGTCTGCTTTCCAAGGACATTCCCAGTCTGATGGGCTGATGGGCCTTATTCTGGAAGCAGCGTATTCTTGGCATGGTGCTTCAAAACAGAGGTTAGCTGTAATATAAATGGTAACTGGTGAGATTTTTTTTTAAGGACGGTATTAAAAAAAGTGTCTCATTCAAAGGGTTAGGTGGGAATGCTGTAGCCTCAGCTCCTTAATATGTATGTGGACTCAGATAAGTCAAAAGTGAGATTATGGGATTCTTCAGACATTGGCGTTTGTTGGCTTGTGAATGATATCCCATATTGCAAAGCACCTTCTGCTGAAGCGACTTTGGGGGGAATAGTGGTGCTTATGAAACATGGTCTGTCTACTACAGTACCCCCTGTCACTAGCCCTTAACATGCCTGCTGATGGTCACAAGAGAAGACCTGGCTGAAGACAGCAGAATATCACCTTCCCCCTTTCCCTTCCTGTATAGCTGAGGTCCTGTATAATGGCCCGTCTAATGTGTCATCTTTTAAAGCTACAAATCTTCGCTAGTACTAAACTAGTTGTTTTGGTTCTGTCACTGTGGTCTCTAGATCAGGTTAGGTTTCCAACTCCAGACTTCGGATGACAGAATCCAGCGGGATTTCTTTTTCTCTGTAACTCGTCATCACCTAAGAGATGTGGAGAGGAGGATGTTTTGTCCACTTAAGCTTTAATTGGATCAATGTAGCTCTTTTCTTCTCCCAGGTAAAGAGCTGTTTATAACTTATGGGGACATGGAAAACCCATTGGATTCCAGACCCAGGGGCTGGAGAAGCCCTGCTCTAGATGCTGGTTTTGAACTTGTTCATCAGCAGCTCTGTGCTACAGTACATAACTTCTGAATGACCTGTTCAAGGAGTACCGTTTAATTTGAAACCCTACCGCTG